TACACACAGAAAATGCTGAAGTTGTCAAAGGTTCCATTTGACTGGTAGCTACAAGGAATACCTATGGAAGCAGAAATAAAAGTTGCATTTGGCAAGTCTGCTGCAAAAGACCCCTTAAAGTGTTCAAAACAAACATGTCACCCACCCTGAAGATTCAGATGCACCCGACCGAGATGAGGCATTTTCCTTCCCCTCGTGTGCACACCAAAGCTGAACAGGAACGGGGAAAATTGATGCTTTCTTTGCTGGTGAGAGTATGAAATGTTCCACGGACTGCCAGGAGAATGAACTCATTTACCTTGTAAGAAGTATTCTTACCTTGTAAGAATGCTCCCTTAGAAAAGAGAATGGAGGGATCAATCCTCGGAGAAGGACATCATGCTTGGTGAAGTAGGTGGGCAGCTGAAAGAAAGCTTTGAGAACAGGGGATTTGTACTTCATTTATTCAATAAAAAATGTACTAGGTTTAGGACTACATTTATAAGCCAAAAAATTAGAAATAAATATGGAGTATTCCCACACAAGGAAATATAAAAGGGAAAAACCTTTTGGGGAAGAAACATAATGAAAATTGAGACTGAAGGTACCAGATCTTGCAGGATCCTTTTGTCCATGGCTAAGGATGTTCTCTTTAACCTAAGAACCTGGGAAGCAGCTGGTGGTTTTGAACTGCCCACCTTTCCGTTAGCAGCCCACAACACCCATAACCATTATACCGCCAGGCCTCCTCCATAACTTATGGCTAGTGGTAATGCAAAGGGAGGAGAGAGGAAGGGGTCCAGAGATTTAAAGCTGCAGGGGCTTAGTGTGTTATCTGTGATCTTGAATTTTAGACCCAAGAGAGATTTCGAGGATGAATAGCAGGTTTCTACCTTGGGAAGCAGACAACAGTGCCATTCCCTGCAAGATCAGGTTTTTAGTATTTTTCTGTTTGGAGAGTGAGTTTAGTTTTGCTTGATGTTCAGTTTGAGATGTCTTTGAAACAATTTGGTAGAGATTGCAGTTAGGCATATGAAATATATTTTGAAGATTAATCATCAAATTGCATCCTTGGACAAGGGGAACATGTAGATGAGAAGAGAAAAATAGCTTTACATTGGAATTTAGGAATCCCTATCAATTAAAGACTGGAGAGAAAAGCGGGGCCAATAAAACATAGCGAGGATGCCAGAAAGGAAGGCAGAAAGACCGGGGCTGCACGGGAGGACAGCTGGGAAGGGAAGTGCAAGTTTCACTGAGGGCCAGAGCAACAGTGTGTTACACCCTGCTGACAGAAGGCCCAGAGAAGGGCTACAAGCAGTTGTTGGGTTGATGGAACTGTGGGCACTGGACATACTGTTCAGGTGTCCTGGTGTGTGATGGCGGTGCATCAAGCTGCTAACGGCAAGGCCAGCAGTTTGAAACCATCTGTGGGAGAAAAATGAGGTTTTCTATTCCCTTAAGAATGACAGTCTTAGAAACCCATCAGGAGCAGTTCTACCCTGTCCTATAGGGTTGTAATGACAGTCTTCGAAACCCATTAGGAGCAGTTCTACCCTGTCCTATAGCGTTGCAATGGCAGTGAGTTTGGTTTGGGGTTTGAACTTGCTGTACAAAAAAAAGAAAAAGTACTCCGTACCTGAGAAAGTGTGGACTAAGAACTCGAGAGTCAAGAAAACCAGCGACAAGAGGTGAAAGCTGACCGATGAATCCCTTGCGATCAGAGTCAAGGATGTGGATAGCCATGTTATCAGACAGAGAGCAATGTAAAGTTGATGGTGGCAGGTGTAGTTAAGGTTAAAATGTAATAGCTTATCGTTTGATCTCCTTTTGGACCCATTTTAAAGTTGTTTTACTTAAAAAACAATGTGAAGGGGAAATACATGTGGATTAAGCCTTTGGTGAATCCCCGTTGTTCATAGACCAGGGATGTAAACAGCCTTGCTATCATGCAGAGTGCATTAGAAAGTGGATTACTGCAGATGCGGTTGAAATTTAGCACCTTATGATTTGATGTCCCTTATGATCCATTTTAAATTGTTCTAGTTTTTAATATTTTTCTGCCTTCTTGTCAATTAAGGTTTATATCTGTTTCATTTTATTATCGTTGTTAGTTTTGTGTTGTTTAAAAATGTTTTCCTGTATGTGAAATCCAGGATAGGTAGATCTATAGAGACAATAACTGGATGTATGGTGTCTTGAGATTATGATGGGGGAAGTTGAGGGAAAATAGGGAGCTAACAACAGTGAGTACAAGAAAGAAGAAAATGTTCCAAAATGGATTATAGTGACGATTGTACAACCCTTTTTAATATAATTGAGCTATTGAATTATATTGCATATTGTATGTAAATAAAACTTTTAAAAAACCCGATAGAAATATTTTCTTGATACAAATTAATATGATCTTATTGTTAACTGCCTTTGGGTTAGCGCTGGCTCTTGGCAGACCCATGCACAATGGAAACATTGCCTAGTCTTACGACATTCTCATGATTGTTATTTAATTAGACCATCGCAAAACACAGGGTGTTCATTGACTGAATTTTTCATCAATAGGCCTCCAGGCCTTTCTTTCTCCTCTTGGTCGAGATGATCTACATCATAGCAGCATGCAAGCTTCTGTGTATAAGATTCTGTGCAGAACTATGCATAAGGTTCATTGACCAGGGATTGAACTCAGGGTCTCCCACAGGGAATGTAAGAATTCTACCATTCTCCCAATCCTAGCACTTCCTCCAATGAGCTCGTTAGGAAGCTGTAAGTTAAAATATATCAACTTTTTAGTGCGATCACCATTTCTAAAGTGCCATGTCAATAGAATAGGTATATTTGTAGAAGGTAGAAAGGGCTAGAGGTAGGAGAAACGGACAAATGTCTGTTTACTGCCTACCACACATCAGATTTTCCATAAGTTCCGGGTTAGGCTAGTTGGAGGTATTTTCTGTACTGAGTTAAAACTCCTAATGATTGCTCACAACTCTTCTCAGAAGTGGCTTCTGATGCAAAGCTGAAGTAGTGTAGATTTGCCAGCATATGACAGAGCGAGATTTGGGAGAACGAACTGAAGAAGAACTAAAACTTATAGATGACAGAATAATTATTAATGCCTGTTGTCCTTAGGAAACCTAGTGGCATAGTGGTTACGCATTGGGCTGCTAACCACAAGGTCAGCAGTTTGAAACTATCAACCGCTCTTCTGGAGAAAGATGATACTGTCTACTCCCATATAGAGTGACAGACTCAGAAACCAAGAGAGGGGCAGTCCTATCCCATCCTACATAGAATCAAGTCGGAATCAACTCGGGGTCATGAGTTTTAGTAGGCCTTCTGGTGAAAATCATGTTCCACCTCTTGGCTAATAACTTACTTCATTCATTTCTATACATCAGCACATGCTCCAATACTTCCCCAGCACACCTTTCCCCAAGGAAAATGTAGTCGTTAGAACTGCTCACTGCCTGTGTTCCCTTGAAGAAAATAATGTGTTCAAATCATTGACCGGAAAGCTGATCTGCTCTGTAAACCTTTGCCCAATTCACCTACACACACAAAATTTAATAATATTGTCGGGATTGTAGATAATGCATTTTGAAAGTCAAAATTCATCTTCAACGAAGTCTTTTGCAAAGTAAACATGATATTTTTATCATTTCAACCTCAACTTCATGTGGGATGAAAGAAAAAAAAATCAGGCTTTCTATTCCCATCAGGAGTTACATTCTTGGAAACCCACACGGACATTTCTCCCCTGTCTTACAGGGTCACTATGAGTCGGAATCAGCTGTACGGTAGTGAGTTTGGTTTGGCTTAGTGGCTTCCTTTCTGGAGCATGATCTGTTGGGCTAGCCGAGGGGAGAGGCACTCAGAGACATGCTCTCTGGGGTGTAAAATGCCGTTCTTTCTAAAACGGAGTTGTATGGGGTGGTTTCCCGGGGCCGGCTCCGCAAGGTTTGACGTCTACCTCTGCCACTTACTCTCTGCATGATCTCACCTCACGTTTCATCATGACTTGTGGGATGTGTTGCATGAAGTCATGATAAGGATTAAAGTAGTTAATACCCATTTCAAACTCATAGCAAGCCAATTCTGACTCACGGTGACCCCACCCATTTCACAGAAAAACTCTTCCTAGGAGTTTTCAGTCATTGCCTGTAAATCTTAGATCACCTCATAGATATCAGGCTGGACTATAAGTTGCCAGCCCTTTTCTCTGCAGTACCACTGGATGGATTTGAACTCTTAATAGCTAAGAGCAAATAATTTGTGCCATCTTGAAGGACAAATGTTTGATAAACATTAGCTATTATTAGAACTATCATTCTTGTAACGTTTTGTTTTAAAATATATTGTGAAAGTGAGGTATTCTTAGTTTTTAAAACCCCAGGCGAAATTTAGTTACTTTGGAAAGAAGATGCCGGGCTGGAACATCATCACACTCAGTGAGTGAATATAATGAGTTGTCTACCATCCATCTATCGGTTTGACATGCTGTAATGTCATGCATATTGATATGATGCTGAAAGCTATTCCATCAATATTTCTAATGCCTAGTGTTGAGCATGGTAGACAGGTTTCAGCAGAACTTCCAGACTAAGGTCGACAAGGGAGAAAAGCCAGGAGTCATCTTCTGAAAATTAGCCAATAAAAAACTGTGGAGCACTACAGAGTCCTGTCCAACCTAGTGCTAAAAGAGGAGCCCCCTAGCTTAGAAGGCACACAAAATAAACAGTCACCACAACCACAGGCTCCAGCACCACCAAGTGATTGTGAGATAATGCAGCATCAAACAACGTGCATTCTGTTGCCAAGGGGTCACCATGAGCCAGAGCTCATTCATTGGCCATTGACAATGTACCTAGATGTCAGACTTACAGAGGCTTTTAACTAATACATTTACCAGTACAGATCACAAATCTCACCTAGAAGGGAAGACCCAAATGCGGTGGGAGTTATTCATGTATGGCCCTCATTCTTAATGCTGTGTCTGTTCTTCTCTACATTGGCTCTGTCCTTCGCAGTCGGACACGTCTGGGGACTATGGAATCACACTCGCGAAAATCTGCGGGGGAGATGACTGACCCAAGAAGATAGTCCCTGCCTCCACACTGGACTTTTGTCCAGCAGCTTCGCTTACTTCTTTCTCAGAGTACTGGAAAGCACCCCACGCCATGTTCTCCTAACAGCAATTTACCGTGTCCGATAACCACAACAGCAAGTAAACTTGTAGAGCACCTCGTTTATAATGTAGTCGTTTCTAAGTGAAGTTGTAAAATACTATTAAAGTTTTGCTAATATTCCCCAACTGATGTTTCTGCCCAAGAAGTGAGAATCTTTGTAGGATTCTAAAACATGAAATGTAGTAAAATACAATAAATACAATAAAGTAGTTTCTCTTGCTAAAGATCACTCATCTGTCTTTATCATTGTTTGGTGCCTAATGCGGAACTACTGATGCTATTTTAAAACATGTTTCTGTTATGAAAGCTGTTGCACCTTCAATTTATCCAGTACCTTTTTAATCATGTTCTCCATGAAGAAAGGAATAAGCAGTAAGATGTTTGTGACTTTTGCCTGCTTTTTCTAGTTGTGACTGAGCCAGCAGTGGTAACACATAGTACGTTATTTCAACCCTCACCAAACATCTGCTGAACTATGAGTCTAACCATTTCCTTTCTGAACGGCAAGCCTGAATTGTCCTCATTTCATGCTAAATACTACTTTCCCAGAAGGATCCTTTAGAACAAAATCTTTTGGGTTTGCTCTTTCTCTAAAATAAACTTGTGAAACCATGCATTTTCAAGAAGTCTTCTTGTTATCTTAGAAATAAATCCTGATGTGAAATATCTTGATAGAAAATACATAGGCAAAAAAAAATACCAATGGAGGTTATTAATCTGGACTAGACTAAAAGTGGCCATGCTGCAATAATCAGATGTAAATCTAAGGGCTTTTGTCACTGTAATCCCCTGGCAAAAACTTATGAGACTTTGAGGAAGGAAAAGAAGTCAGTCTGACTCTCAGAATTCACACTCACTGCCATCCGGTCCATTCTGAGGCAGTGACCAAAGTGTGTGGGCATAAAGCACAGGGGTGTAGAATCCACCACACCTGGGGGCGACTCCCTGCCCTATCACTTACTAGCTGCATAAACCTGGCTAAAGCAGCCTAAATCTCAGTCTTCTCCTCTGTAAAATGGTTATGGTTATATACCCTCCTCCTGCGAGGGGTTTTTTTTTTTTAATTATTTTATTGGGGGCTCATACAATTCTTATCACACTCCATACATACATCCATTGTGTCAAGCACATATGTACATTTGTTGCCCTCATCATTCTCAAAACATTTGCCTTCTACTTTAGCCCTTAATATCAGTT